AAACTAACATACCACATAGTTGCACAATTAACTTTATGAACTTCGAGGTCTATTATTTCACAGGGTTAGTTACTTTGGTTTTTGCAATCTTGCTACGGCACGAAAAGTGCAAAAACACATAATCCTCCCAGCCCGCCTGGTGCGTTTCAGCCTGGGTTTCCAAACACATACAGACGACCTCTTGACAGTATCCCTTTTTGCTGGCCGTAGTAGCGCTATAGCTATAGCACTGCACAGCAAAAATGCATATTGATGAGAGGTTTATAGGTGCGCGTGTGTGGGAATATGTTTGGAATATGTCATTCACTTTCAACACAGCAGCCAGAGAAGCTAGGGAGCAGAAATTCCACGGGAACGCTCTCGACCCATGTTTGACCAAACAAGACTAAACTCCTTCGTACGATATCGTCAATACACACCTTGTAGCAAAATTAAAGCAGATTTTTTTGCTGAAAGACGATTTCCAGAGCCAAACAAGATATGAAACTGAAATTTCGGGAGTTGCTTACTATCGATAAGAATCAAAGACTGCAAATTTAGCTACCACGCATGCCTATGCACGGACACGCCAAAAATGTTTTTGGTGGGAAAGCACACACACAGACACAGACATAGACACACACACACACACATCACACATACGCACACACACCGGGGTCGTCGCAATATGCGTTTTCGCACTTGCATGTATGCAAAATGCATAAAAACTGATACATTTGGAAGCATCTGGAAGTACTCAGGCTGGAACGCACCAGGCTCTCCAGTGCGATCATGCGTTTTTGCACTAAACTCGCAGATCGCTATTAGCAGGAATGATCCCTACGCTGTAGAGCGTTTTTGCACTAAACTCGCAGATCGCTATTAGCAGGAATGATCCCTACGCTGTAGCCTAACACTTGGGTCATATTGGCGTGTTTTGGCCCCTTCCGGCGTGCAGGAGGAAGGGCGTGAGTTGAGGTGAAGGTGGTGCATTATAGAGCGGCACGGACATCCAGGTGCATGATTACCGGTTTTTCGCATGAAGTCCGATCGTTTTTCCGGCAAGTGCTCGATTTGTGAAAAAATGTCAAATGCAAATTTTTTGAAAAAATGCAAATTTCGAGTTCACTAAAAGGTGGAAATATTGCTCGAACGGTCGTTTGTCAAAAAATCCACGTCCATTTACATATACGGTTGCGGTTAAGGTACGAGCTGCGAACGATTTTTCTGAAAATATGCAAATTATCAGTTCATTGAAAATTGAAAGTATTGCTCGAACGCCCGTTTTTCAAAAAATCCATGCTCATTTGCATATACGATTGCGGCTCAGGTCCGAGTTGCTAACGATTTTTGGGTTGAGGAGCTGCTTGAGGCTGTGGTTGGGGAGCTAGAGAGCTGAGTTTAAAATTTTTATCTTGTACGTGCATAGAGAATATCCCTGCAAAGTTTCGGCTTTCTACGTTGCCTAGTTTGCGAAATCGTTTCCCGCCAACATATTTCTTTGGGGATCCCGTACGCGGGATCCATGCGCGTATGGGGAAAGATCTCAAAACGGGAGGATGACACACAGGGTAGGAACATATGTCCATATTTTCAGCCTCCCACTTTTTCTCATTGCTGAGATGAAAGTGGGTGACAAAATGCATTCGCTTTTCGAGCATACACACAGACAGCCTCTCGACAGTATGCGTCTTTACTTGCTGTAGCAGATGCTATAACGCTGCACAGCAAAAACGCATAAAAAGCAAAATCAGTGAAGCTTATGCTTGGGTGAAGCTGAGGGCAAATAAGTCCGACTGGATTACACAAGAATTGCAGACATTTCCACAGTGTTACCTCCTACAGTCTGCAACTGTGCAGAGCAGTTATAACTTTGTTTTTTGCCTTTAAAATCTTACCGCAGCAACGGCTAATTTCATCCCAGGCATTCATTCTACCCTGTTTTTGCCCACTTCATGAAACTTATCCGCTCTCAGTTTTACCTAAGCATCAGTTTCATAGATAGGAAAGTCTGATGGCGAGTTTTTATGGAACTGCTTTACTTAAGCATCAGTTTCATAAATAGGTAAGCCTAATGACGGACTTTTGTGGTACAACTTTACCTAAGCATCAGTTTCATAAAAAGAGAAGTTTCTTCACCGCTGCCCTTTCCCCTCCAGACGTACGTTACATAGTCAACCGACAAACGATCTATGCCATTTAGTCCTTATATTCACCTATCCAACCCCCCCCCCCCCCCCCCCCCCCCC